TGATGCAACCATTAACAACACATGAGCCTAGTATCCGCCATCTTCACAACTATATAGCCGCCAAGATAAAGCAAAAGGGATACCGGTATGGACTCTAGCACAGATAACAGTAGTACTCTAGTCATGTCATGGCAGGCACAAGCTAGCTACAGGCAGTTTTTGCAAGAAGGTAGGTGGAAAAACAAAACAAAACAAGGAGACAAGTGACAACAATATGGGTGGGTGGAGTTCTTCTGGCTGTTTACTTAACCTGATCTATCATATTAGGGAGAACAATATTTAGCTTACCTGTTGTAGACACAACGACCACCATCCTTGAAACTGCACGTGCACAACAATAACGCTCAAAGATATTCCGGCGTGCAAACAGCTGCGCCGAAATTGTAGCTCAGTCGTGCTTCCAATCGACGTGGCACATCGCTGCCAGATCTTTTACTGGACGAGGAAGGCCTTTGAGTATGAAGCAAACTCTGGTGGATAAATATGAACTAACAGAATCGTTTAATTGGCCGGGTTAGGGTAAATCTGGTTTAGGCTAACGTGCTCCAAAGTTAGTATAAACTCGGATCTGGGCTGTTCCTATCAAAATACACTAGTTTTAATTTATGCTATCCAAAAAGTTAGGGTAAATTAAATAAATTGAAAATCGGGTTTAGGCTAACGAAAAGTTAGCCTAAACCCGTTTCACAAAAGCATAAAATGAAGCTATTTGCTGTAAAAGAAAGTACGTGCAGATTGATCACATCAGGTGCATTCGCCGGATAGACCGTCGTGAAAACGGCCATTAACTACTATCAGATACATTTTTGTCGATACGTGCCTTATTCGTTACGTACATGATTAATCAGTACTTTTGCTGACGTACATGTGCAATACGTACTTTTGCGATGCATGCTTTTGTCTGCATGCAGCTAGGGGGGGGGGGGGGGGTAGTAGAGCTAGGGGGGGGGGGGGTAGAGCGCTGCCATAGTCGTGGTGTTCGACTGTGCTGCCATCTGATGTCGCACCACTGATAACTGTCGGCGCGGCGCCGCCGTCTCCATTTGAGTGTGTAACAAACGCACGGTCGAGAGCCACTAATTCGAAATTATTTCGAGTTTGGCGATTTTGTGCTTACAGATACTACCATGGTGAGGATAAACTGAAACTGCGTATACTTTGAATGTAACATAATGGACCACTCTTATCACTCGCCGTGGCCACTAGCGCTCACGCTATAGCTCTGCATCGTTACTAGTACTAATAGTTATCCCTTAACTGCATAAGTATCTAAAAGTGTTGTGCTTAAGTATCGCTTCTCGGCCTTTTGGCTAAGATCAAAGTGTAGTATCTGTTCTTATCAGCTTAATATCTGATACGTCCCCTACATGGGGACCAGAATATTAAACTGATTTTTGGACTTTGGCGGGGTTTTTGGAGCTTGCTCCAGCCCTGCCGCGGGTTGGCCTGGCATTGCACTACAGCCAGGATCGGCCCACTTTTGTTATCATGCGTTGTGATATGTGGTGAAAATAAAAGGATAAAGATACTTTTAAGATATATGACAATAAAAATTGACAAAACATGAAAATACGCCTCTTTTTGATCATGGTCATAGACAAACGCTCATACTAAATGGAATAAAAATGCGGGTATCGGCAAATTGTACCTGTGACCCCTCAATGTCCCTGAGGTCATCTCAGGTCATGAAGAAAAATGACCCAATCAATATCATTATGATTATAGACGTTTTTTTTTTCTCGAATTCCACTACTACGTGCCGCCCCCGACCCGAGCCACGATAACCGCTACAATAGGCGAATTAATTCACGCATTTATTTTGTTCCCAGACAATCGACATCTTTCAAGTACACGGTGCATCGGCGTCCTAAAATGTGACTGGAAAGGCCGCTCTATCTGGTGAAACTCAGTAAAGACGGTGCATCATCATCTAACTGAGGTACCTGTAAAGCTGACATCTTTATCACTATTCATTCGGTATCAGTGATGGACAGTGGGGGGCGTGTGGGAAGTTGTGGGTGACGACAGCTTTGCCTTACGTAAAGCATCATATGCTTTTAAAACTTTTCTCTTTTTATTAGTTTTGCTATAGCGTGAGGCGTGCAATCGTATATCGAAATGAAAAAAGTAACTGGAAAAATAGCAGTATCTATCGACATTCCTTACATCTGTGCTTTGGTAAGGTCCTGACAAATGCTTTATTTATTCATATTAGCCGTTTTCACGACGGCCATCTGGTACACATTTGATGCACAGGTGGTACAGATAAAGTGCAGAATTGGTCAAATCAGGTTCAGTGTGTCCTCTTAGCAGCTATCAGCTAGCACTTATATGCACTAATTTCTTATATGCCTGATTTGTCATATTTTCAGAGAGCATCATCGATTAAAACACTAATAAATTCATAAAATGAAGCTATTTGCTGTAAAAGAAAGTACGTGCAGATTTGATCACATCAGGTGCATTCGCCGGATAGACCGTCGTGAAAACGGCCATTAACTACTATCAAGATACATTTTTGTCGATACGTGCCTTATTCGTTACGTACATGATTAATCAGTACTTTTGCTGACGTACATGTGCAATACGTACTTTTGCGATGCATGCTTTTGTCTGCATGCAGCTAGGGGGGGGGGGTAGAGCTAGGGGGGGGGGGGTAGAGCGCTGCCATACGTCGTGGTGTTCGACTGTGCTGCCATCTGATGTCGCACCACTGATAACTGTCGGCGCGGCGCCGCCGTCTCCATTTGCGTGTGTACAAACGCACGGTCGAGAGCCACTAATTCGAAATTATTTCGAGTTTGGCGATCTTTTGTGCTTACAGATACTTACCATGGTGAGGATAAACTGAAACTGCGTATACTTTGAATGTAACATAATGGACCACTCTTATCACTCGCCGTGGCCACTAGCGCTCACGCTATAGCTCTGCATCGTTACTAGTACTAATAGTTATCCCTTAACTGCATAAGTATCTAAAAGTGTTGTGCTTAAGTATCGCTTCTCGGCCTTTTGGCTAAGATCAAAGTGTAGTATCTGTGGGGCATTCCCCCGGTATTTGCACATGATCGCGGCTCATTGGTCGGGATAGACATGCTTTTGGTTGGCTACCTTTTTTTTACAAAGCACGCCGCTAAAACATGCTCTATACGCTAAAAAATCTGTTCTTATCAGCTTAATATCTGATACGTCCCCTACATGGGGACCAGAATATTAAACTGATTTTTGGACTTTGGCGGGGTTTTTGGAGCTTGCTCCAGCCCTGCCGCGGGTTGGCCTGGCATTGCACTACAGCCAGGATCGGCCCACTTTTGTTATCATGCGTTGTGATATGTGGTGAAAATAAAAGGATAAAGATACTTTTAAGATATATGACAATAAAAATTGACAAAACATGAAAATACGCCTCTTTTTGATCATGGTCATAGACAAACGCTCATACTAAATGGAATAAAAATGCGGGTATCGGCAAATTGTACCTGTGACCCCTCAATGTCCCTGAGGTCATCTCAGGTCATGAAGAAAAATGACCCAATCAATATCATTATGATTATAGACGTTTTTTTTTTCTCGAATTCCACTACTACGTGCCGCCCCCGACCCGAGCCACGATAACCGCTACAATAGGCGAATTAATTCACGCATTTATTTTGTTCCCAGACAATCGACATCTTTCAAGTACACGGTGCATCGGCGTCCTAAAATGTGACTGGAAAGGCCGCTCTATCTGGTGAAACTCAGTAAAGACGGTGCATCATCATCTAACTGAGGTACCTGTAAAGCTGACATCTTTATCACTATTCATTCGGTATCAGTGATGGACAGTGGGGGGCGTGTGGGAAGTTGTGGGTGACGACAGCTTTGCCTTACGTAAAGCATCATATGCTTTTAAAACTTTTCTCTTTTTATTAGTTTTGCTATAGCGTGAGGCGTGCAATCGTATATCGAAATGAAAAAAGTAACTGGAAAAATAGCAGTATCTATCGACATTCCTTACATCTGTGCTTTGGTAAGGTCCTGACAAATGCTTTATTTATTCATATTAGCCGTTTTCACGACGGCCATCTGGTACACATTTGATGCACAGGTGGTACAGATAAAGTGCAGAATTGGTCAAATCAGGTTCAGTGTGTCCTCTTAGCAGCTATCAGCTAGCACTTATATGCACTAATTTCTTATATGCCTGATTTGTCATATTTTCAGAGAGCATCATCGATTAAAACACTAATAAATTCATAAAATGAAGCTATTTGCTGTAAAAGAAAGTACGTGCAGATTTGATCACATCAGGTGCATTCGCCGGATAGACCGTCGTGAAAACGGCCATTAACTACTATCAAGATACATTTTTGTCGATACGTGCCTTATTCGTTACGTACATGATTAATCAGTACTTTTGCTGACGTACATGTGCAATACGTACTTTTGCGATGCATGCTTTTGTCTGCATGCAGCTAGGGGGGGGGGGGTAGAGCTAGGGGGGGGGGGGTAGAGCGCTGCCATACGTCGTGGTGTTCGACTGTGCTGCCATCTGATGTCGCACCACTGATAACTGTCGGCGCGGCGCCGCCGTCTCCATTTGCGTGTGTACAAACGCACGGTCGAGAGCCACTAATTCGAAATTATTTCGAGTTTGGCGATCTTTTGTGCTTACAGATACTTACCATGGTGAGGATAAACTGAAACTGCGTATACTTTGAATGTAACATAATGGACCACTCTTATCACTCGCCGTGGCCACTAGCGCTCACGCTATAGCTCTGCATCGTTACTAGTACTAATAGTTATCCCTTAACTGCATAAGTATCTAAAAGTGTTGTGCTTAAGTATCGCTTCTCGGCCTTTTGGCTAAGATCAAAGTGTAGTATCTGTGGGTTGTTTAACCTATTTTAACTCGCGCGAGGCGCTTTTTGACTTTGATCTTGGCCAAAGGGTCGGGAATTGTATTCCCTTGTAATCCCTGTGACCTTGAGCAGTGCCGTGTTGCTGTGCCCGTCCACATGGTGTCGCCACCGTCGCCGCTTGCCGAGGAGGGGGCGCCGCTGCTGCTCTACACCAGGTGAGACCGCGCGGCGACTGCCTCCCCGCCTCCCCCCCCCCCCCCCCTAGCTTCCGGGCAACGGCCTTCAGCCGTTGACCCGTTTTCAAAGGTTTCGCGCCAAAACCCAGACCGTTGGGATTTGGCGCCAAACCTTTGAATTTGAACTCCCTTCCCGCCCTTTCCCACCTAACGCCGGCCTGTTGATGAACATTTCTTGTTTTTGCTAAATCTGCTTTTGATCTCATTTGCTTCAATTCTACCCCTTTTCGGCCTGTTTTACGTCTAAATTACCCGTATTCCGTGCCCGTACCCATACCGTTTCTCCGTCCCGGCCTCGCCGCGTGGTTTCCCGTGCCCGAGCCGGCGCCCCCGACTCGCTGGCCTGTGCTGTGTGCTGTGTGTTGTGTTGTGTTGTTTGATAGTGTATTGTTGTGCCTTTTATCATGTCTGCGCCACCTTCCCGTGCTCCCACCGTGTCCCCTCCCCGGGCGGCGGACACCCAGCCCACGATCGATGGCGAGCGTCTCGTGTTGCCCTTCCCTCTGCCTGGCCTCTTGCTATGCCCCGTGGAGGGCTGTGGGACCCGCTACGCTAACTGCAGTGCCTCGACCATGCGTCAGAGCCTGAAGCGCCATGTGAAACGGTGTCACACGGAATTGACCGCTGCCCAGTGGGTGTGTGGGGGGTGCAGGGAGGAGCTGCCCTACCACTTCAACAGGCACGGCTGCTTTGCGCAGCCGGCCGCCGCGGGCCCGGTGGCCATGCCCCACCGGTGCTGGTGCGGCCGCAGTTTCACCACCCGCCGCGGCCTGACCAATCACGCCCGCCTGTGTCGCAGCTCGCCCGTCCACGTGGACACACCCAGTCTGTCCCTGTCCCGTGTGACCGCCGACGCTGACCGACCAGCCCCGGGTGATGACGCCGTCCCCCTGCCCCCGCTCACCCCTCCCGAGGCCCCCGTCCGCGGCTCGGCCTCTGACCCCGGCCCCGGCTCGCCCCGCTCGAGCCTGTCGAGCCCGCTGGCCGACCGGCGCGGCTCCGGTGGCCGGCCGGCCGCCGGTGACGTCACCGACGATGACGTAACCGATGGTGACGTCACCCTGACGCCTGACTGTGAGGTGACACCCCGTCCCGGCCCTGTGACGCCCCGGTCCGGCCCTGTGACGCCCCAGCCCGGCCCTGTGAGTGTCACGGTGGTGCTGCCCCCCGGGTCTGTGTCGCAGTCGCCCGTGCCGTCCCCGGGAGTGATGTCGGACGTGTCTGATGTGACGTCAGTCATGTCTAGTGTGTCCTCCACTGATGTGACCTCCTCCTTCTCGACGTCTGACTCGTCTGGGTCGTCGACCCCGCTCGGCACCCCGTGTGCCCTGACGCCCCGCGCCCGCCGGTCCCTGCGGACCAGCCCGGCCCGGCCCGACCCTCCTGGTGACCCCGTGTCGCCCCCTGCTAACCGGGACCGTCCCAGCCCCCTCCAGCGACTCGCCCGGCGATTCATGGCGGCGATCGGCCGTGGCGGCCGGCGGCCGGCGGCCCCGGCCCGGCGGGACCCCTCCCTGCCCCGTCCAGACTCACCCCTCCTGCCCCCGTTCCCGCCCTCCCTGGAGGCTTGTCGGCGGTCGGAGAGTGGGAGTGAGCTGGACATCACCCTGGAGACCCCGCCGCGGGCCCCCTCCCCCTCTGACTGGACCCTGCTGGAGGACCTGGCCGTCTCCTCTGACTCCGAGGCGGCCGTGACGGAGGACAGCCTGCCGCTGTCGCTGCGGCTGGCCGGCACCGACTCCCCTCCCCTCCCGGTGCCCGCTGACGCTCCGTCCCCCGACAGAGCCCCGACGCCGCCGCTGGATCCGGCTCCGTCCTCCCCACTCTCCCCAGCTGACTGCCCGCCGCCCGACAGAGCCGAGACGCCGCCGCCGGACGCTGCTCCGCGCTCTGTCCCTGCTCCGGCCTCTGCCTCGTCAGCTGACTGGCTCTCCGCCGTCCGCCGCCGGCCGGCCTCCCCCCGCCCCCTCCCCGCCGACTGACTCGGGTAGCGGTGGGGGTGATGAGCGGAGGAGAAGGAAGCGACGCCGGCGCCGCCGTGACCGGCGTGGACCGGTCCCCCGTGACCCGGCCCGTGACGTGCCCGTCCCCGGTGACCTGACCTGCTCGTCCCATCCCGGCCGTGACCCGTCCTCCCATGGCAGCCCACCCCCGAGGGACACCAGTGGTGACGGCTGTGGCTGGCCCCGCCGGACACTGGTGTTCCACCAGTCCCGTGCTCCCGTCCCACAGGACCCGGTGGACGGTGACCCCCGCCGTGGCCCGCCTGTCAGTGACCTCGGTGGCCCCCCTGTGACCTCCACTGACCGTGGCCGTGACTGTGCCGCGCGCACCCAGCCCTGTACCCCTACCCGTCGTGTACGGACCCCTCCCGGGTTCCCGTCCCGGGGAGGACGGCCCCCGCCCGGGTTCCCGGCCCGTGACGTGCCCCTTCACGGCCCCGTGTCGCCCGGTGCCCGTGCCGCTGTCGGTGACAGTGGCCTCACACGGACGTACAGTGAGGTGGTGCGGACCCCAGTGCCTCACGCTGTGCCGCCCGTGACCCGCCCCGAGCCGCCCGCACCCCGTGCTGTGCCGCCCGCACCCCATGCCGTGCCGGGTCCCTCCCGTGACCCCGGTGGTGACCGGCGTGCTAACCGTGGTCGTGGAGGCCGTGACGGGGGTCGTGGCCGCCAACCCGCCGCTAACCCGGCCCGTGCCGCCGCCGGTGGCCGCCCCGGCGCTGACCTGACCCGCCGTGCACCCGTGTCACCCCGTGGCCGTGACCCTCCCCATGGCGGTGCTGCGCCCCGCCCCACCCGTGGCCGCGGTCCGCCCGGTGACCCCGCTCACCGTGACCGTCCCAGCGTCGCCCGTGACCCAGCCGTGACCCGTCCCGGCCGTGGCCGCTCCGGCGGCGAGCCTACCGGCGCCGGCCGTGGTGCTCGCGGCAGAGGTGGCCGTGGTGGTCGCCCACCCGCTGACCAGCCTCGTGTCACGCCCCGTGTCCCGCCTGACCCGCCCCGCGGCTCGCCCGGCGCTACTGCGCGCGTGCCGCCTGGTCACCCGCCTCGCGCCCCACCCGGTGACCCCGCCGGCGCTGTGGCCGGTGGACCGCCCCGTGCTCCGCCCCGTGACCCGCCCGGTGACCCGCCCGGTGACCCGCCCACTGACCGTGACCCCGCCCCTGACCGACCTGCCGGCGGTGCCCGTGGTGGCGGCCGCGGTCGTGGTCGTGGCCGTGGTGCCTCCCGCGGTCGTGGCCGAGGTGGTGCCTCCCGTGGCCGGGGTGGTGCTGCTGGTGCCCCCGCTGGTGACCCCGCTGGTGACCCTGACGGTGGTGCCGGTGGCGGTGGCCGTGGTGGCGGTCGTGGCCGTGGCCGCGGCGGCCCTGGCCGTGGTCGGGGCCGTGGTGCCGGCCGTGGTGGTGGTGCTGGAGGTGCTGGTGACCCCGCCGGCGCCCCTGACCCCGCCGTCGCCCCTGACCCCACCCAGCAGGGCCCGGAGCCGACCGAGCTGCAGCAGGAATTCCTGCCCATACTGACCGCCTTGCAGGAGACCCACACCCCGTGGGAGGATGTGGAGCGCCAGCTCACCCGGCTGTGCGCCGAGGCGGCCCGGCGTAACGCCGACTACCATGAGCGGCGCCGGCGCCCCGCCCCCTGGCGCCCCCCTAACGAGCGGCCGCCCGCTGACCGTCCCCCCGCCGGCGAGCCCCGCCCCCCTCCAGCGGAGCAGGAGCCGGAGCCGGCCGAGGACCACCGGCGGCCCTGGCAGCCGCCGGCCTACGCGGCCGAGGAGGCCAGCCGGCTGCAGCGGCTGTACCGCTCCAACAGGGAGAAGGCGGTGCGGCAGGTGCTACGGGAGGAGACGCCCCCGTGCCCCGTGCCCGGCGAGCAGCTGGCGGCCCACTTCGCCCCTCCTCCCTGCCCCCCTGTGGAGTGGGACCGGCGGCCGCAGGAGGTCCCTGACCTGACCCCCGCCGCCCCCTCCCCGGCTCTGACCGCCCCGTTCCGAGCCGACGAGGTGTGGGGCCGTCTCCGGCGGGCGGCCAACACCGCCCCCGGCCCTGACGGGCTGCGCTACGCCGCCTGGCGCGCCCTCGACCCCGGCGCCCTGCTGCTGACCCGGGCGTTCGAGCTCTGCCGGCTGGCGCGCCGCGTCCCGCCCACCTGGCTGGTGTCAGAGACGGCCCTCCTCCACAAGGGGGGTGACCCGACCCGGCCCGACAGCTGGCGGCCGATCGCCCTCGGCGCCACGGTCGCCAAGCTGTACGCTGGTGTGTGGGCCGACCGTCTGTCCGGGTGGGTGGAGGCCGCTGACCTCCTCTCCACAGGCCAGAAGGGTTTCCGGCCATTCGACGGCGTGCTGGAGCACAACTTTGTGCTCCAGAGCGCCATCAACAGCGCCCGGGAGGACGGGACAGAGACCCACGTGGCCTTCATTGACCTGACCAATGCTTTCGGCTCGGTCCCCCACAGCCTCCTTTGGCAGGTCTTGCAGCGGGTCGGTGTGCCGGAGGAGGTCGTGGCGGTGGTACAGGGCCTGTACCAGGGCAGCGCCACCCGGTACCGCGCCGGGGACGGCCTGACCGCGCCGGTGGCGTGCCAGCGTGGCGTGCGGCAGGGGTGCCCCCTCAGCGGCCTCCTCTTCTCCCTCGCCCTGGAGCCGCTGCTGCGGGCCCTCGCCGCCGCGCAGGTGCGCTGCCTGGCCTACGCCGATGACCTGGCTCTGATTTTCAGCCGGCGCAGCGAGGTGCAGGACGGCCTGGCGCTGCTGGAGCGCGTGTGCGCCTGGGCCGGGCTGACCCCCAACCCGGGGAAGTCGGCCCTGCTCTCCGTCGGCGCCCCCTCCCCGCCCGCCACCCTGTGCGGCGCCCCCTTGCCCCTCATTGACAGGGACGGGGCCTACAGGTACCTCGGCCGACCCGTCGGGCACACCCGCCTGATCCAGCCGCCCCTGCAGGTGGTGGCCGAGGCGCGCCGTGACGCCGCCCGCCTCCTGGGTTCGCCCCTGGCCCCCTGGCAGAAGCTGGACGCGGTGCGGGCGTTCATCGCCCCACGGCTTACCCACTGCCTGCGGCTGGGGGTGATCCCCAAGGGGGCCCTGGCCGCTTTTGACAGGTCGCTGCGGTGGCGCGTGAAGGGGGTCCTCAACCTGCCAATAAACGCCACAAATCACTACCTTTATAGCCCCACAGGTGCCGGTGGCGTGGGACTAACCCATTTCGCCCAGGAGGCGGATATCCTTCTGGCGGCGGCCACCCAGCGCCTCCTCCACTCCCGTGACCCGGCGGTGGCCGAGCTGGCGGCCGCCGAGCTGACCGGTGCCGCCCGGCGCCGTGTCCGCCGTGACCCGACCCCGGCCGACCTGGCGGACTACTTGAACGGGGTCGCCATGCGTGACGACGGCGGGGGCGTGTCGTGCCGCTCGACCCGGACCCGTGTGGCCACCACCGCCCTCGCCCGCCGCGCCCCCGTCCGCTGGCGCGCCGCTGACCCCCCTGTCCTGCAGGTGGGGGAGGCGGACGTGGAGCCGCGGCGCGAGTCGCGCGCGCTCCGGGAGGCGGTCCGCCGCACTGACCTCGCCGACCTGACCCGTCTCCCACAGCAGGGCAAGGTGCTGGCTTGTGTGGCCGACCAGCCGGTGAGCTCCCATTATATGTATAATGGGAGCTTCACCCGGTTCGCCGACTGGCGGTTCGTGCACCGCGCCCGTCTGTCCCTGGTCCCCCTTAACGCGTACTCCCGCAGGCCAGGGGCAGACCGCCGGTGCCGCCGGTGCGGCTACGTCCAAGAGACGCTGCCGCACGTCATCAATCATTGCCTTACAGCCCACGCCGAGGCCTACCAGAAGCGCCATGACGCGCTGCTGGCCCGGCTGGAGCGCGCCACGCCGGTCTTCCCCGGTGACGAGGTCCGGGTGAACCGTCGGGTGCCCGGCCTCGACTCTGCCCTCCGCCCCGACCTCGTGGTGACCCGTGGTGACCGAGTGACCCTTGTCGACGTCACGGTGTCCTTTGAAAATCGTCCAGAGGCCCTCCGCGCCGCCGCCGCTGAGAAGGAGCGAAAGTACGCGCCCCTCGTGCAGGAGCTGCGGCGGCAGGGGAAGACGGCCTCCGTGCACGCCCTGGTGCTGGGCTCCCTGGGCACCTGGGTCCGTTCTAACGAGACCACCCTCAGACAGCTGCGCGTCAGCCGGGTGTACGCCCGACTGATGCGTAAACTAATGGTCAGCGACACCCTCAGGTGGTCGAGGGACGTGTACGTGGAACACGTCACTGGTTCACGCCAGTATTAGGCGCCCCTGCCCCTCACGATGACCCCAGGGCCGTGTGACTGTGTTCTGGTGTTATTTGTTATGTTATGTTATGTAAATGATTGTACATTGTGTTGTGATTGTCTGTTGTGTTGTTGTTGTCAAGTGTTTGTACGTACCCGTGCCCTGGGTGCCAACTGAGCGTGACCAGATGACCGCTGACCCAGTGCAGGTCCGTGACCGACTCTGAGCCTGCCCGGCATCCGATACCCGTGTGCCGACCCCCCGGTGTCCGCCGCCCGGTCCCTCCCGTGTGTGTTGACCGCTGACCGGACCAGAGGTGGCCCTGGCCGCCGTCTCCGGCCGGGGCGACCGGGTGACTGGTGGAGCCGCCTCACCTGGTGGCTGAGGCTGCCCCGGTGGCCGTGGCCGCCGCCGTGCAGTCACCCGCTGGTGACCTGCGGCCGCTCTCCGGTGGCTGTGGTGGCTGCCCCACCCGGCGGCTGTAGCTGCCCGTCTGGCGGCCGGCCGCCCGCCGGTGGCTGGAGCCGCCTCACCCGGTGGTCGTGGCTGCCCGCGGTGGCTGTGGCTGCCCCCGGTGGCTGTGGCTGCCCCTGGTGGCCGTGGCTGCCCCCGGCGGCCGTGGCTGCCCCCGGTGGCTGTGGCTGCCCCTCGTCTGGTGGCCGCTGCCGTGGTCGCCTGCCGGTGACCTGGGGTCGCCTCCGGTGACCTGGGGTCGCCTCCGGTGACCGCCGGGCCGCTCCTGGCGTCCGTCGGCCGCCCTGCGGCGCTCTCCGCCCGGTCACGCTGGACCGGTGACCGGGGCTCGGCGGCCGCTGCCCGTGGTCGCCGTCTGCCGCTGGTGCCACTGGTGCCGGCCCGTCGGCTGGTACCGTCTGGTGCCGGCCCTGTCGACTGCTGGTATCTGGCGCACCGTCAAGTGGCTGGTGGCTGCCCTCTCGGTGGCCGCCGTCAAGTGGCCGGTGGCCGCTCTACTGATGGCCGGTGGCCGCCCTCCCGGTGGCCGCCTTCAAGCGGCCGCTGCCCGTGGCCGGTGGCCACCCTCCCGGTGGCCGCTGTCAAGTGGCCTGTGGCCGCTCTGCTGATGGCCGGTGGCCGCCCTCCCGGCGGCTGCCTTCAAGTGGCCGATGGCCGGTGGCCGCCCTCTCGGTGGTCGCCATCAAGTGGCCGCTGCCTGTGGCCGGTGGCCGCCCTCCCGGCGGCCGCCTTCAAGTGGCCGAAGCCGGTGGCCGCCCTCTCGGTGGCCACCTCCGTGACCGCCGCCCGGCTCGTGACCGCGGCTGTCCGTGCGCCGCGCTGCGCCCCGCCGCCCGGCGCCGACCGTTCTCCCCGAGACTGTCGGTCGGTCGGGGCTGTCGGTGCGCCGGGCCGCACCCCGTGCCGGCGCCCGCCGCTGCGGGCTGGAGACTGTTCCGGCCCGTCGGCCGGCGCTCGTTGGTGCCGCGGCACCCGTCGCTCGGCGCTGGCTGGCGCCGCCTGGCGACCGCGTCGCGAACTAGTGAGTGTGGTGCCCTGACCGCCGCGTCGGTCTGGGCTCGTCGGTGCCCGCTGGTGCCCCGTCGGCTCACTGCCGTCTCAGTGACGGACAGCTCAGTGACGTCACCGCTCGGTGATGTGCGCGCCGCGGTGACGTGGGGTGGGGAGTGTTGGGGTGGGAGTGATGGGACGGGGTGGGACGGGAGTGTGGTGGCGGACAGTGGCCACTCACTGGCCGTGGCCGACCGTAGTCGGTCCGCCGTGACTGTGCCGAGCGGTACTGGTCTGTCCCACGGTGACCGGCCTATCTCGCTGACACTCGTGCGCGTCCCGTGAGTCGCCCCGTGACCGTCGCTCGGCCGCTACGGGCCCTGGTGACCGGACTAGGTGACTGGTTATCACCTGTGGTGGTGACCTCCGGCAGTGACCGTCACCGCTCATACTGTGGTGCGACCAGTGTCGTGGGGCGGGGAGTGTCGGGATGGGTGTGGGATGGGAGGGGCGGGCTGGGAGTGTCTCATGTGTAATTGTATGCCATATGATGTAGATATCTCAGGATGGCTCTAACAGCCTAATGTGGCCTTATTACGGGCTGGCACTGAGCTCTACCGCGGTCACAGACCCGCTGTACTCGATCACCGTGACCGTGGTCCGTTCCACCCCCCTATGTCGACCGTTGGACTGTTTCGGTCTTTTTGCCGTAACTGTTAGTCGGCCCCGTGCCTCTGTGGACCAGAGGTCGGCGCCTTGACCCGTAGTACCGCGACTGCGGCTCCGTTGTGCCAATCCTCTGCCAATGCTGGCTTGGTATCTTAACGGGTCGGACTGTTTGTGTGTTAGTGTATGTGGGTATGTGGGCTGGGGAGGGTAGGGACGGGTGGCGGCGGGGATAATGTGTATGTTCCACTTGCCACTGTATGTATAACCTAATGTAATCTGAAGGGACGCTCTTGATCCCCTGCTCTGTCCTGCCTGTGCAGGCTCACCGATGTATGTCCGGTCGACAGACCCAGCAATGGACCCGTGAAGTCCAATGGCGCTCACCGCCTCCGACGATCGCCACTGTAGTATGTAAGCCAGTGTCGAAATGTGTGCTGTGTTATGTAGTAAGTGTGCGCCCCTTCGGGTAGCCCACTGACGTTAGCGCTCTATGTTGATTGCGTCTCTGACACGTAGGCTCCCCTGATGTCCGTGGCTCGCCGACTGCCACCGACCCAACATTGTACATAAGTCGTTGTACCTGAACTGCTGTAACGCTGGACCCGTTTGGTCCAATGGCGCTCGGCGCCTCTGTATGATTTTCTAGTGCTGCACCGATGTGCTGCTACCCGTCTCGGTCGGCCCGCACTCCGTGCTCGTCTGGCACCCCTCTACCCTCCCTGCTCCGAGGCGGTGGTGTGGGGTCGGCGCCCTCCGGTGGGTCTCGGCCGGTGTGGGCCGGGAGGACCCCGGACTCCCTCTCCCTGGCTTGGTGCCTAGTGGCTGGTGACGGGCGGCCATGGTGATGGCGTGGTGCGGCTCACCACACGATGGTGAGGCACGGAGTAGCTGCTTAGCTGATGGCTGGTGCCGATAGAGCTGATCTAGTGGTGATGGTGTGGGCCGCTACGGCGGCGGGCAGGTGGGCCCCAGTGGCCGCCCCGACCGACGCGTCGGACCGCCAGCCGGTGCCGGTGCGCACAGCTGGTGGTGCCCTGCTTTGGTGATGGTGATGGTGGTGCAGATCCCCAGCAACCCCCTCTCCTCCCTGGCCCGCCCCGCCGGCCCGCCGTGGTGCCTCCCCCACTGCCGCCTCCCTCCTCCCCCTCCCCGTTCCTCCCGCCAGCCTTGTCCGGGGTGTGTGGCCGACCGCCATGGTGACCCTGCGGGGTCTGTAACTATTAGCTTGTTGTTATCTTGTGCATGGTCTCTCTGTAACGGCTGGGCATGACTGTTGTCCCCGTTTTTCATTGCCTTGTTAGTGTCCGACCGTCCCTGTAATCACCATGTACTTTTTTGAATAAAAAAATCTGTTCTTATCAGCTTAATATCTGATACGTCCCCTACATGGGGACCAGAATATTAAACTGATTTTTGGACTTTGGCGGGGTTTTTGGAGCTTGCTCCAGCCCTGCCGCGGGTTGGCCTGGCATTGCACTACAGCCAGGATCGGCCCACTTTTGTTATCATGCGTTGTGATATGTGGTGAAAATAAAAGGATAAAGATACTTTTAAGATATATGACAATAAAAATTGACAAAACATGAAAATACGCCTCTTTTTGATCATGGTCATAGACAAACGCTCATACTAAATGGAATAAAAATGCGGGTATCGGCAAATTGTACCTGTGACCCCTCAATGTCCCTGAGGTCATCTCAGGTCATGAAGAAAAATGACCCAATCAATATCATTATGATTATAGACGTTTTTTTTTCTCGAATTCCACTACTACGTGCCGCCCCCGACCCGAGCCACGATAACCGCTACAATAGGCGAATTAATTCACGCATTTATTTTGTTCCCAGACAATCGACATCTTTCAAGTACACGGTGCATCGGCGTCCTAAAATGTGACTGGAAAGGCCGCTCTATCTGGTGAAACTCAGTAAAGACGGTGCATCATCATCTAACTGAGGTACCTGTAAAGCTGACATCTTTATCACTATTCATTCGGTATCAGTGATGGACAGTGGGGGGCGTGTGGGAAGTTGTGGGTGACGACAGCTTTGCCTTACGTAAAGCATCATATGCTTTTAAAACTTTTCTCTTTTTATTAGTTTTGCTATAGCGTGAGGCGTGCAATCGTATATCGAAATGAAAAAAGTAACTGGAAAAATAGCAGTATCTATCGACATTCCTTACATCTGTGCTTTGGTAAGGTCCTGACAAATGCTTTATTTATTCATATTAGCCGTTTTCACGACGGCCATCTGGTACACATTTGATGCACAGGTGGTACAGATAAAGTGCAGAATTGGTCAAATCAGGTTCAGTGTGTCCTCTTAGCAGCTATCAGCTAGCACTTATATGCACTAATTTCTTATATGCCTGATTTGTCATATTTTCAGAGAGCATCATCGATTAAAACACTAATAAATTCATAAAATGAAGCTATTTGCTGTAAAAGAAAGTACGTGCAGATTTGATCACATCAGGTGCATTCGCCGGATAGACCGTCGTGAAAACGGCCATTAACTACTATCAAGATACATTTTTGTCGATACGTGCCTTATTCGTTACGTACATGATTAATCAGTACTTTTGCTGACGTACATGTGCAATACGTACTTTTGCGATGCATGCTTTTGTCTGCATGCAGCTAGGGGGGGGGGTAGAGCTAGGGGGGGGGGGGGGTAGAGCGCTGCCATACGTCGTGGTGTTCGACTGTGCTGCCATCTGATGTCGCACCACTGATAACTGTCGGCGCGGCGCCGCCGTCTCCATTTGCGTGTGTACAAACGCACGGTCGAGAGCCACTAATTCGAAATTATTTCGAGTTTGGCGATCTTTTGTGCTTACAGATACTTACCATGGTGAGGATAAACTGAAACTGCGTATACTTT